GGGGGGGGGTGGGAATGGGATGAGGGGATACTGGGGGGGCTGTGCTGAACTGGGAGCCCCCCCGGCAGCAGCGAGTGTCACTGGGCAGGCCCTGGTGGCACTGCGGGTGCCCTGGCCGTGCTTGGGTGACATCCTGGGGGCATCCTTGGGGACATCCTGGGGATATCCTTGGGACCCCCTTGGGGGCATCCCTGGGGGCATCCTTGGGTGACATCCTGGGGACATCCCTGGGGGCATCCTTGGGGACATCCTGGGGATATCCTTGGGGACATCCTGGGGGCATCCTTGGGGACCTCCTGGGGACATCCTTGGGTGACATCCTGGGGACATCCCTGGGGGCATCCTTGGGGACATCCTGGGGACATTCTTGGGGACCCCCTTGGGGACATCCCTGGGGGTATCCTTGGGGACATCCTTGGGGACATCCCTGGGGACCCCCTTGGGGACAGCCGTGTGCGGGATGTGACAGGGGGGACAGGACGGGGCCGTTCTCCCGCTCCCACCCCGGAGCGGGGCCGGAGGGATCTGTCCAGGCTGGTGTCTGTCCTTCCTGGGGACGTGTCCGTCCTTCCCGGGGGATATGTCCATCCTTCCCAGGAATACTCCCGTCCTTCCCAGGGCTCTTCCCGTCCTTCCAGCGCTCTTCCCATCCTTCCCAGGAATATTCCCGTCCTTCCCGCGGGTATTCCCGTCCTCCCGGGGGTGTTCCCGTCCTCCCCAGGAATATTTCCATCTTTCCCGGGGATGTTCCCGTCCTGCCGGGGTATTCCCGTCCTTCCCGGGGATATTCCCGTCCTGCCGGGGGTATTCCCGTCCTCCCCGGTCCCTGCCCCCCCGGCCGGGCCCGGCTGAAGGAACGCTTAATTCGGGGCTTTATCCACAAACACTCCCGGGCTAAAAATACCCGGCGGAGCGGGCGCGGCGCTGCCGCCCGGAGCTGCTTTGCCTTTTTTGACGGGATCCCGGCCGGGGCAGCGCCCGGGGCTGCGGCCACTGTCACCGCTGAGCCTCGGGGACACGGCCCTGGGGACAGAGGTCCGGGGGTGTCCGGATCCTGGGGATTCCAGATCCTGGAGATTCCAGATCCTGGAGATTCCAGCTGCTGGAGATTCCAGATCCTGGGAATTCCAATTGCTGGAATTTCCAGATCCTGGGGATTCCAATTGCTGGGATTTCCAGATCCTGGGGATTCCAGATCCTGGGAATTCCAATTGCTGGGAATTCCAGATCCTGGGGATTCCAGCTCCTGGGGAATCCAATTCTTGGGCTTCCCAAATCCTAGGAATTCCTGCTCCTGGGGGATCCAGCTCCAGGGAATTGCAACTCCTGAGAATTCCAGCTCCTGGGGTTCCAAACTCCTGGAGACTGCAGCTGCTGGAGATCCCAGCTCGTGGAGATCCCAGCTCCTGGAGATTCCAGCTCCTTGGGGATCCGTCAGAATGGATGAGGGGCCAGGGGTGGCACCTTGGTGGCTGTGAGGTGAGTGCTGTCCCCACGCTGGGGATGTCCCTGTCACCCTGTGCTGTCCCCATGTCCCTGCCACCCTGTGCTGTCCCCCTGGCATAGAGGTGCCATCCCAGCTTGGAAAACCACTGCCAGGGAAAACCCCTCCTTGTCACCCCCCAAACCCAGGGTGGCCTCGCCATCACCCGCTTCCCTTGGGAAGGTCGGGGACCCTTAGGGAAGTTTGGGGACACCTTGGGAAGCTTTGGGACACCTCAGGAAGGTTGGAGACCCTTTAGGAAAGTTTGGGGACACTTTGGGACAATCCGGGACCCTTTGGGAAGGTTGAGGACACCTTGGGAGGGTTGGGGACCCTTTGGGAAAGTTTGGGACACGTTGGGACAATCCGGGACCCTTTGGGAAGGTTGAGGACACCTTGGGAGGGTTGGGGACCCTTTGGGAAGGTTGGGGATGCCTCAGGAAGATCAGAGACCCTTTGGGAAGGTTGGGGACACCTTGGGAGGGTTGGGGACACCTTTGGGAAGGTTGGGGACCCTTTGGGAAGGTTGGGGATACGTCGGGAAGATCAGGGACCCTTTGGGAAGATCAGGGACCCTCTGGGAAGGTCAGAGACCCCTCGGGAGGTGGCAGGGGGTGCCCGGGCTGTCCCCAGCGCCCGCTGGCGTCGCACAGAGCTTTTCCCGCTGCGGTGGCGGATGTGGGGCGACGTTTGAGGTTTGGGCTGTTGATTTTTTTTTTTTTTAATTTCCTCTTCCAAGCTGATGAGTTTCCTCCCGCTCCGCTGACGACGGATGGGGGCCGGGCGGGGCGCCGGAGGGGCAGGAGGCGGCTGCCCGCGGGACCCGGCCGGGCAGAGGGGAGAGCTGCCCACCCACCCCCGGAGCCGGTCAGTGCCCAGGGACCCGGGATTGGGGATTTGGGGGTCTGGGACTGGGGATTTGGGGATCCGGGATTTGGGATTGGTTTGGGATGGGGGGGGGGCAGAGGGGGGAGCTGCCCACCCGCCCCCGGAGCCGGTCAGTGCCGAGGGACCCGGGATTGGGGATTTGGGGATCTGGGACTGGGGACTTGGTGATCTGGGATTGGGGATTTTGGGGATGGGGGGCAGAGGGGGGAGCTGCCCACCAGCCCCGGAGCCAGTCAGTGCCGAGGGATCTGGGATTTGGGGTTTGGGGTTTTGGAGATTTGGGGTTTTGGGGATGGGGGCAGTGGGGGTGGAGGGAGGGGAGGGAGCTTGGGGTGGGCACGAAGGGACGGGGCCGTGGGGGGGATGGGGGCACCGAGAGAGGCGATTCCAGCGCCCAGGGCCGATGGGAAACCCAGCGGGAGGAGCAGGTGGGGTGAGGAGGAAGAGGAGGAGGAAGAGGATGAGCAGGATGGGCTGGGGGTCACGAGCCCTGGCGGGGACCCCCACCCACATTCCCTGTGCCAGGCCCAGCCAGGGGGGCCGGGAAGGGCACTGGGGGGTCACGGCACCTCCTGGATCCGGGGGTCCCGGGGGGCAGGGCCGGGGGTCCTGGGGGTGTTCCCGGCCACGTGCCCCGGGGGATGGCGGTGGTCTCGATGAGGAGCCCCGGCAGCTCCGGGCCTGTCCCACTCCGCCCTCGGCGCCATTGGCACCCGAGAAAACACCTGGGAGGGGGCAAAGCACTCCCGGGATGCCCCGAACCCACCCTGAACTGTCCCGAACCCACCCTGAACTGCCTCGAGCCCACCCTGAGATGTCCCGAGCCCACCCGAGTGCCCCGAGCCCACCCTGAGCTGCCCCTAGCCCACTCTGAGCTGCCCCGAGCCCACCCTGCCCATGCCCGTGGAACCCCCGGTGGCTCCCCCCACCCCCCGGTCCCTCACGTCCCTCCTGTCCCCCAGGGAGCCCCCCGGCCCCCCGGGCCATGGAGGGACCCCCGGTGCTCGGCCCCTCCTCGTGGCAGCGGCGCCGCGCGTGGGCCCGGCAGAGCCGGGGATGGAGCAGCCCCGAGGGCGAGCACGAGAAGGAGGAAGAGGAGGACGCGGAGGAAGAGGAGGAAGAGGAGCAGGCGGCCGCTGTTCCCTGGGAGCCGCCACAGCCGGACCGCGCTGTCCGGGGCGGTCAGGGCCAGCCCGGGGCGCGGGAGGGACCCCCGGGCCGGGTCCCCTCACGGCCCCTGTGTCCCCCAGGAGCGCTCTGCGGCAGCGTCCGGACCTGGCTGCGGGACTGCGGGTGAGGGGGGACACCCGGGGGTCGCCGGGGGACACAGCCCTCTCCCAGGGGATTTGGGGAGGGGGCGAGGCTCTGGTTCGGCCGTTCCTGGAGGTGCACATGGCGGGGGGACAGTGACGTGTGACACGTGTGACCCCCCACGTGGTCACAGCGGGATGTCCCCAGGGCTGGGCTGGGCTGGTGGCACCTTCCCCCCGCGCCGCCCTGGGGGGTCTCACGGGGGTCCCTGGGATTGGGAATGTGCTGAGGAGACCCAAAAGCCAGCACAGCCGCCGTGTCCCCTCCTGTCCCCTGCGTGTCCCTGTCCCCACCCCGCCGCGCTCTGCTGTCCTGTGCCACCTCCTGTCCCCGGGACGGGCTCGGGGCTTGGGCTGGGGTCGGGGTCGGGGCCGTGACCGGGGCCGTTCTGTGGCGCAGGGCTGCCGCGCTGGACGAGCCGGGATCGTGGGGACCCTGCGGTACGTCAGCTTTGTCCCCTCCCCGCGGTGGCCCGGGGGGTCCCCGGGGGTGTCGCAGAGTGTCCCCTCCCTCTCTCGCAGCGCGTGGCAGCAGCGGGACGAGCCTCGAGGACGAGCTGAGCTCGGGAGCTGAAGGTACCCAACCCCCCCCGGGGGTCCCGAGGTGTCACCTCCACCCCCGAGGGGACAGCGGGGCTGGGGACAGCCACCATCTGCTCCTCCAGGTGTCCCCAAGCTCTGCGTCCCTCCGGGGCTGTGACAAGGGCGGGGATGTCCCCAAACCAGCGCCAGTCACCCCCTGCTGTCCCCCCGCTCCCTTTTCCAGCTCTGTTGCTCCCGGGGACCCCCCAGGCGGCGGGCAGGTGAGATTTGGGGTCCCGGGGGAGGCTGGCAGGGCGGGGGACACTGTCCCGGTGTGTCCCCTGGCACTGTCCCCTCCCCACGCAGGAGTCAGTGGGAGCGGCGGCCGAACCCTGGGGACAGCACGGCCTGCAGTGTCCCCTCCGGTGTCCCCTCCGGTGTCCCCTCCGGTGTCCCCAGCAGCCGCAGGTGGGGGCAGGGCGCTCGGGGGTCGCTGTCACGCCTCTGTCCCCCCGGCGGGACTGTCCCCTCGCGCAGCCTGCTCGCCGTGCTGGCCTGGTGCCAGTCGGACGCCGAGGAGATCCTGCACAGCCTGGGCTTCGTGGGGAGCGAGCCGGGGGTCGCGTCCCGGGTCCCCCCCCGCTTCTTCTCGGGCCCGTCCCGCGCCAGCGGCATCGACCTCGGGCTCTTCCTGCGGGCCCAAGCGCGGCGCCTGGCCACGGAGGATCCCTGCCTGCTGCTGGCCAGTGCGTGACACCGCTGTCCCCGTGTCCCTGCTGTCCCCTGCCCGCCAGCGGCCCTCGGGGGGGGGGATGGGAAACCCTCCCGTGCCTCAGTTTCCCCGTGCGGGAATTGGGGGATCACCCCGAGCCTGCCGAGCTGTGAGGTGGGATGCACTCACTGCTCCTGTCGGAGGTGGGAAATGGCTGCCGTGCCTCAGTTTCCCCAGGTGGGAGCTAGGGGGACCCTCCCAGCCCCCCCGAGCCCCCTGACCCCCCGATGTCGCCCCCAGGTCGCTTCCAGCAGGTGCAGGCCCTGGCTGCCGCCGCCGACGCGTTCTTCTGCCTCTACTCCCACGTGTCGCGGACCCCCCTGCAGCGCATCGCCCCCCCCCGGCCCTGTCGCGACATCCCCGACAGCGCCGAGCGGCCCGGGGAGCGCCTGAAGCGCGCGGTGTCCTCGCTGTGCCTCTACACCGGGGCAGGCGACAACGGCGACATCCCGCGGGGGGGGACCCGGGGCGAGACCCCCTGCCCCCGCAGCGCGCGGGACCCGGGGGGGCTCCGGGCGGGGCCGGGCGGTGCCCCCGAGGGCTCCCGGGGGGACAGCGACACGGCCACGGGGCAGTGGTGGCCGTCCCCGAGGCCACCCCCTGCGGGGACAGCGTGGGGACACCCCGAGCGCTCCTGTCCCCGCGGCCGGGGGGTCTGGGGGCGCGGGGGGGCTTCGTGCCCTGCCAGAGTAGCGCGGGGGGACACAGGGACACCCAGCAGGGTGGCGGCCATCCCCGAGAGCCCCGCGGGGCTGCGACCCCCGGGCGACCCCGGCCTCGACCCTCGGTGCCACCCGGGGGCCACCACGAGGGCCGGGGGACACCTCGCCGGGCTGCGGGGGGGTCCCCAGGGGCTGCAGCCCCCCGGGAGTGTCCCCAAGCCCCCCGAGCCACGAGGAGCGGCGGAGTCCTTCGAGCTGGAGGAGGTGAGGAGGAGGAGGAGGGGGAGGAAGGCCCCCCCGGCTGGCGCGGGGAAGGAGCTGGAGCGGGAAATGTCCCCGGAGCCTCGCAGGCTTTTAAGGTTTCAATGATTCAGAGGCTCGGGCGGCGCCGGGCCCGGGGGGAGCCGGGTCCCTGCCCCCCCCCGCGGGCACAGGCACGCACAGGCCGGGCCGGGTCACGCGTGGGGACACGAGGGACGCGCGGGGGCGGCGCCACACCTTTGTCACGGCAGCGGTGACACGCTGGGCCCCGCACCCACCCCCCGCAGGTGCTGAGCGAGGAGGAGGAGGATAATGACGATGATGATGATGAGGAGGAGGATGATGATGATGACGATGATGATGATGCCCCCGAGGAAGCCGCCCGCTCCCCCCGTCCCTTCATCAGCACCCGCAGGAGTGAGTGGGGGTCTTCCCCACCCTCCTGGGGGGCACGGGCTGCCCGGTGCCAGCGTGTCCCCGCTGTGTCCCCACCGTGTCCCCATCATGTCCCACCGTGTCCCCGCCATGTCCCCACGGTGTCCCCGCCCTGTCCCCGCTCTGTCCCCACCGTGTCCCCGCCATGTCCCACCGTGTCCCACACGTGTCCCCACCGTGTTCCAAATTGTCCCCACCGTGTCCCACCTTGTCCCCGCTCTGTCCCCACCGTGTCCCACCATGTCCCACCGTGTCCCCGCCATGTCCCCGCCCTGTTCCCGCCCTGTCCCCACCGCGTCTCCGCCCTGTCCCCACCGTGTCCCACACGTGTTCCAAAGTGTCCCCACCGTGTCCCCGCAGGCTCCCTGCTCCAGGGGCGCTCCCACAGCAGCGGCTTCGGGGAGGAGCCGCTCCCCCCCTCGGCGCCCCCGGCCCGGACTGCGTGACCCGAGGCCACCTCGGGAGGACGTGTGGCCTCGGCCGGCTGTCCCACGGACGTTTTGGACACGCGTGTGACACGTGTGCGTGTGTGTGTGTGTGGCACAGGAAAACCTCCGCGCTCGGGATTTTGCCCCATTTTTTTGTCCCTCCCTCGCCCCCCCAGCCCTGTGGCTCGGGGCCTGCAGAGGGGACGTGTCCCCAGCCTTTGGGGGCGTGTCCCCAGCCCTTGGGGACGTCACTTGCACTTTGGTGGGTTTCACTAGAGGGGGGTGGGGACAAAATAAAGTCCCCCAAGGGATGGCGGTGGCCGTGTCCGTGCTGGGGGGTGCGATCATCCCTGCCCAGCCCCCACCCGGGGGTCGGGCACAGCCCCCGCGCCCCCCCAGGTGACAGCCCCAGGACCCCGGCGAGGAGCCACCGCTGTCCCTTTGTCACCGGGCTGTCGCTGTCCCCGTGCTGGCCGCCCCCCGGGACCCTCGGCGTGCCAGGGTGGCACCGGGAAGTCCCAGAGGATCAACAGCCCCGGGGCTTCCCCGTGGAGAGCGGCCAGGCCCGGGATCATCCGGGATTATCCCCGCGGCCCCTCTGGCACCGGGGCCGGGACCACATCCCAAATCCCGGGGCAGAATTCCATCTCACCGGGACCGAATCCCAAATCCTGGGGGGAGGATTCCATCCCACCGGGGATGAACCCCAAATCCCGGGGGGAGAATTCCATCTCACCGGGTCTGCATCCCAAATCCCGGGGGCAGAATTCCATCCCACAGGGGCTGAATCCCAAATCCCGGGGGCAGAATTCCATCCCACCGGGGCTGAATCCCAAATCCCGGGGGCAGAATTCCATCCCACTGGGGCCGAATCCCAAATCCCGGGGGGAGAATTCCATCCCACAGGGGCTGAATCCCAAATCCTGGGAGCAGAATTCCATCCCACCGGGACTGAATCCCAAATCCCGGGGGGAGGATTCCATCCCACTGGGGCTGAATCCCAACTCCTGGGAGCAGAATTCCATCCCGCTGGGGCCGAATCCCAAATCCTGGGGGGAGGATTCCATCCCACTGGGGCTGAATCCCAACTCCTGGGAGCAGAATTCCATCCCGCTGGGGCCGAATCCCAAATCCTGGGGGGAGGATTCCATCCCACTGGGGCTGAATCCCAACTCCTGGGAGCAGAATTCCATCCCGCTGGGGCCGAATCCCAAATCCTGGGGGGAGGATTCCATCCCACTGGGGCTGAATCCCAACTCCTGGGAGCAGAATTCCATCCCGCTGGGGCCGAATCCCAAATCCTGGGGGGAGGATTCCATCCCACTGGGGCTGAATCCCAACTCCTGGGAGCAGAATTCCATCCCGCTGGGGCCGAATCCCAAATCCTGGGGGGAGGATTCCATCCCACTGGGGCTGAATCCCAACTCCTGGGAGCAGAATTCCATCCCGCTGGGGCCGAATCCCAAATCCTGGGGGGAGGATTCCATCCCACTGGGGCTGAATCCCAACTCCTGGGAGCAGAATTCCATCCCGCTGGGGCCGAATCCCAAATCCTGGGGGGAGGATTCCATCCCACTGGGGCTGAATCCCAACTCCTGGGAGCAGAATTCCATCCCGCTGGGGCCGAATCCCAAATCCTGGGGGGAGGATTCCATCCCACTGGGGCTGAATCCCAACTCCTGGGAGCAGAATTCCATCCCGCTGGGGCCGAATCCCAAATCCTGGGGGGAGGATTCCATCCCACTGGGGCTGAATCCCAACTCCTGGGAGCAGAATTCCATCCCGCTGGGGCCGAATCCCAAATCCTGGGGGGAGGATTCCATCCCACTGGGGCTGAATCCCAACTCCTGGGAGCAGAATTCCATCCCGCTGGGGCCGAATCCCAAATCCTGGGGGGAGGATTCCATCCCACTGGGGCTGAATCCCAACTCCTGGGAGCAGAATTCCATCCCGCTGGGGCCGAATCCCAAATCCTGGGGGGAGGATTCCATCCCACTGGGGCTGAATCCCAACTCCTGGGAGCAGAATTCCATCCCGCTGGGGCCGAATCCCAAATCCTGGGGGGAGGATTCCATCCCACTGGGGCTGAATCCCAACTCCTGGGAGCAGAATTCCATCCCGCTGGGGCCGAATCCCAAATCCTGGGGGGAGGATTCCATCCCACTGGGGCTGAATCCCAACTCCTGGGAGCAGAATTCCATCCCGCTGGGGCCGAATCCCAAATCCTGGGGGGAGGATTCCATCCCACTGGGGCTGAATCCCAACTCCTGGGAGCAGAATTCCATCCCGCTGGGGCCGAATCCCAAATCCTGGGGGGAGGATTCCATCCCACTGGGGCTGAATCCCAACTCCTGGGAGCAGAATTCCATCCCGCTGGGGCCGAATCCCAAATCCTGGGGGGAGGATTCCATCCCACTGGGGCTGAATCCCAACTCCTGGGAGCAGAATTCCATCCCGCTGGGGCCGAATCCCAAATCCTGGGGGGAGGATTCCATCCCACTGGGGCTGAATCCCAACTCCTGGGAGCAGAATTCCATCCCGCTGGGGCCGAATCCCAAATCCTGGGGGGAGGATTCCATCCCACTGGGGCTGAATCCCAACTCCTGGGAGCAGAATTCCATCCCGCTGGGGCCGAATCCCAAATCCTGGGGGGAGGATTCCATCCCACTGGGGCTGAATCCCAACTCCTGGGAGCAGAATTCCATCCCGCTGGGGCCGAATCCCAAATCCTGGGGGGAGGATTCCATCCCACTGGGGCTGAATCCCAACTCCTGGGAGCAGAATTCCATCCCGCTGGGGCCGAATCCCAAATCCTGGGGGGAGGATTCCATCCCACTGGGGCTGAATCCCAACTCCTGGGAGCAGAATTCCATCCCGCTGGGGCCGAATCCCAAATCCTGGGGGGAGGATTCCATCCCACTGGGGCTGAATCCCAACTCCTGGGAGCAGAATTCCATCCCGCTGGGGCCGAATCCCAAATCCTGGGGGGAGGATTCCATCCCACTGGGGCTGAATCCCAACTCCTGGGAGCAGAATTCCATCCCGCTGGGGCCGAATCCCAAATCCTGGGGGGAGGATTCCATCCCACTGGGGCTGAATCCCAACTCCTGGGAGCAGAATTCCATCCCGCTGGGGCCGAATCCCAAATCCTGGGGGGAGGATTCCATCCCACTGGGGCTGAATCCCAACTCCTGGGAGCAGAATTCCATCCCGCTGGGGCCGAATCCCAAATCCTGGGGGGAGGATTCCATCCCACTGGGGCTGAATCCCAACTCCTGGGAGCAGAATTCCATCCCGCTGGGGCCGAATCCCAAATCCTGGGGGGAGGATTCCATCCCACTGGGGCTGAATCCCAACTCCTGGGAGCAGAATTCCATCCCGCTGGGGCCGAATCCCAAATCCTGGGGGGAGGATTCCATCCCACTGGGGCTGAATCCCAACTCCTGGGAGCAGAATTCCATCCCGCTGGGGCCGAATCCCAAATCCTGGGGGGAGGATTCCATCCCACTGGGGCTGAATCCCAACTCCTGGGAGCAGAATTCCATCCCGCTGGGGCCGAATCCCAAATCCTGGGGGGAGGATTCCATCCCACTGGGGCTGAATCCCAACTCCTGGGAGCAGAATTCCATCCCGCTGGGGCCGAATCCCAAATCCTGGGGGGAGGATTCCATCCCACTGGGGCTGAATCCCAACTCCTGGGAGCAGAATTCCATCCCGCTGGGGCCGAATCCCAAATCCTGGGGGGAGGATTCCATCCCACTGGGGCTGAATCCCAACTCCTGGGAGCAGAATTCCATCCCGCTGGGGCCGAATCCCAAATCCTGGGGGGAGGATTCCATCCCACTGGGGCTGAATCCCAACTCCTGGGAGCAGAATTCCATCCCGCTGGGGCCGAATCCCAAATCCTGGGGGGAGGATTCCATCCCACTGGGGCTGAATCCCAACTCCTGGGAGCAGAATTCCATCCCGCTGGGGCCGAATCCCAAATCCTGGGGGGAGGATTCCATCCCACTGGGGCTGAATCCCAACTCCTGGGAGCAGAATTCCATCCCGCTGGGGCCGAATCCCAAATCCTGGGGGGAGGATTCCATCCCACTGGGGCTGAATCCCAACTCCTGGGAGCAGAATTCCATCCCGCTGGGGCCGAATCCCAAATCCTGGGGGGAGGATTCCATCCCACTGGGGCTGAATCCCAACTCCTGGGAGCAGAATTCCATCCCGCTGGGGCCGAATCCCAAATCCTGGGGGGAGGATTCCATCCCACTGGGGCTGAATCCCAACTCCTGGGAGCAGAATTCCATCCCGCTGGGGCCGAATCCCAAATCCTGGGGGGAGGATTCCATCCCACTGGGGCTGAATCCCAACTCCTGGGAGCAGAATTCCATCCCGCTGGGGCCGAATCCCAAATCCTGGGGGGAGGATTCCATCCCACTGGGGCTGAATCCCAACTCCTGGGAGCAGAATTCCATCCCGCTGGGGCCGAATCCCAAATCCTGGGGGGAGGATTCCATCCCACTGGGGCTGAATCCCAACTCCTGGGAGCAGAATTCCATCCCGCTGGGGCCGAATCCCAAATCCTGGGGGGAGGATTCCATCCCACTGGGGCTGAATCCCAACTCCTGGGAGCAGAATTCCATCCCGCTGGGGCCGAATCCCAAATCCTGGGGGGAGGATTCCATCCCACTGGGGCTGAATCCCAACTCCTGGGAGCAGAATTCCATCCCGCTGGGGCCGAATCCCAAATCCTGGGGGGAGGATTCCATCCCACTGGGGCTGAATCCCAACTCCTGGGAGCAGAATTCCATCCCGCTGGGGCCGAATCCCAAATCCTGGGGGGAGGATTCCATCCCACTGGGGCTGAATCCCAACTCCTGGGAGCAGAATTCCATCCCGCTGGGGCCGAATCCCAAATCCTGGGGGGAGGATTCCATCCCACTGGGGCTGAATCCCAACTCCTGGGAGCAGAATTCCATCCCGCTGGGGCCGAATCCCAAATCCTGGGGGGAGGATTCCATCCCACTGGGGCTGAATCCCAACTCCTGGGAGCAGAATTCCATCCCGCTGGGGCCGAATCCCAAATCCTGGGGGGAGGATTCCATCCCACTGGGGCTGAATCCCAACTCCTGGGAGCAGAATTCCATCCCGCTGGGGCCGAATCCCAAATCCTGGGGGGAGGATTCCATCCCACTGGGGCTGAATCCCAACTCCTGGGAGCAGAATTCCATCCCGCTGGGGCCGAATCCCAAATCCTGGGGGGAGGATTCCATCCCACTGGGGCTGAATCCCAACTCCTGGGAGCAGAATTCCATCCCGCTGGGGCCGAATCCCAAATCCTGGGGGGAGGATTCCATCCCACTGGGGCTGAATCCCAACTCCTGGGAGCAGAATTCCATCCCGCTGGGGCCGAATCCCAAATCCTGGGGGGAGGATTCCATCCCACTGGGGCTGAATCCCAACTCCTGGGAGCAGAATTCCATCCCGCTGGGGCCGAATCCCAAATCCTGGGGGGAGGATTCCATCCCACTGGGGCTGAATCCCAACTCCTGGGAGCAGAATTCCATCCCGCTGGGGCCGAATCCCAAATCCTGGGGGGAGGATTCCATCCCACTGGGGCTGAATCCCAACTCCTGGGAGCAGAATTCCATCCCGCTGGGGCCGAATCCCAAATCCTGGGGGGAGGATTCCATCCCACTGGGGCTGAATCCCAACTCCTGGGAGCAGAATTCCATCCCGCTGGGGCCGAATCCCAAATCCTGGGGGGAGGATTCCATCCCACTGGGGCTGAATCCCAACTCCTGGGAGCAGAATTCCATCCCGCTGGGGCCGAATCCCAAATCCCGGGGCAGAATTCCATCTCACCGGGACCGAATCCCAAATCCTGGGGGGAGGATTCCATCCCACCGGGGATGAACCCCAAATCCCGGGGGGAGAATTCCATCTCACCGGGGCTGCATCCCAAATCCCGGGGGCAGAATTCCATCCCACTGGGGCTGAATCCCAAATCCCGGGGGGAGGATTCCATCCCACTGGGGCTGAATCCCAAATCCCGGGGGGAGGATTCCATCCCACTGGGGCTGAATCCCAAATCCCGGGGGGAGAATTCCATCTCACCGGGGCTGCATCCCAAATCCCGGGGGCAGAATTCCATCCCACAGGGGCTGAATCCCAAATCCCGGGGGCAGAATTCCATCCCACAGGGGCTGAATCCCAAATCCCGGGGGCAGAATTCCATCCCACCGGGGCTGAATCCCAAATCCCGGGGGCAGAATTCCATCCCACCGGGGCTGAATCCCAAATCCCGGGGGCAGAATTCCATCCCACCGGGGCTGAATCCCAAATCCCGGGGGCAGAATTCCATCCCACCGGGGCTGAATCCCAAATCCCGGGGGCAGAATTCCATCCCACCGGGGCTGAATCCCAAATCCCGGGGGCAGAATTCCATCCCACCGGGGCTGAATCCCAAATCCCGGGGGCAGAATTCCATCCCACCGGGGCTGAATCCCAAATCCCGGGGGCAGAATTCCATCCCACCGGGGCTGAATCCCAAATCCCGGGGGCAGAATTCCATCCCACCGGGGCTGAATCCCAAATCCCGGGGGCAGAATTCCATCCCACCGGGGCTGAATCCCAAATCCCGGGGGCAGAATTCCATCCCACCGGGGCTGAATCCCAAATCCCGGGGGCAGAATTCCATCCCACCGGGGCTGAATCCCAAATCCCGGGGGCAGAATTCCATCCCACCGGGGCTGAATCCCAAATCCCGGGGGCAGAATTCCATCCCACCGGGGCTGAATCCCAAATCCCGGGGGCAGAATTCCATCCCACCGGGGCTGAATCCCAAATCCCGGGGGCAGAATTCCATCCCACCGGGGCTGAATCCCAAATCCCGGGGGCAGAATTCCATCCCACCGGGGCTGAATCCCAAATCCCGGGGGCAGAATTCCATCCCACCGGGGCTGAATCCCAAATCCCGGGGGCAGAATTCCATCCCACCGGGGCTGAATCCCAAATCCCGGGGGCAGAATTCCATCCCACCGGGGCTGAATCCCAAATCCCGGGGGCAGAATTCCATCCCACTGGGGCTGAATCCCAGATCCCAGAGGGAGAATTCCATCCCACAGGGGCTGAATCCCAAATCCCGGGGGGAGAATTCCATCCCACCGGGGCTGAATCCCAAATCCCGGGGGCAGAATTCCATCCCACAGGGGCTGAATCCCAGATCCCAGGGGGAGATGGTTCCATCCCAGAACCAGACTGGGACAGGGATGGGGTTGGGGACACGCTGGGACATCTTCCTCCAGCTCTCCATGCAGAGATCAGCAGCTCCAGCACATTTCATGGACACTTTGGAGGACACGGTGCTTCCCAGGAGGGTTTTAGGGGATTTTGGGGCCATTTAGGATTAATTAATCCACTGGGATGGGGAACTTCTGGAGCAGCACAAAGAGGTTCCTCTTGCCATGAGGCGTTTCTGCGAGGGCGTTTGGGGATTAACTCCCTGATCCAGGATTCCAATTCCCTGCTGGGGGCTCTGGCTCTGCCTCCCGGATCTGCCTGCCCCAAATCCCCGCCCGGGGCACGGCTGGGCTCTCCTCACCCTCCTCTTCCCACCGGGAATGAACGGGGCTCTCTGAGCCACCAGGAACAGGCAGGAAGGTGGCACAAATCCTCCCTCGGGCGCTGGGATGATGGAAAACACCCAGGATTCATCCCTCGGCTCGGCAGCCAAGAGGAAGGATGTGGCCAAGCCGTGGGAGCCGCTTCCCACGGGAGCAGGAGCTGCTGGGGGGGCAGGGAAGGAGTGGGGGGAGCTGCCGGCAGGGCCCCGTGTCCTACATTTGGGGCTGGCTTTGGTGCGGGGTGTTCTCCATCCCTACTGGCACCACATCCAGGCTCATCCCGCCCCAATTCCATCCCCATCCACATCCAGGCTCATCCTGCCCCAGTTCCATCCCCATCCACATCCAGGCTCATCCTGCCCCAATTCCATCCCCATCCACATCCAGGCTCCTCCTGCCCATATTCCGTCCCCATGGACACCACGTCCTGCCCCATCCCTGTCCACAGCCATCCCTTCTTCATCCCTGTTCCTATCCACATCCAGCCCTTCTCCATCCCCAATCCCATCCCCAATCCCGTCCACATCCAGCCCCAGCCATACCCATCCTTACCTCATCTATCCCCAATCCCACCCCCAATCCCATCCCCAATCCCACCCCCAATCCCATTCCCAATCCCATCCCCAATCCCATCTCATCCCATCCCCAATCCCACCTCCAATCCCATCTCAATCCCACCTCCATCCCCATTCCCACCCCACTCCCACTCCTGCAGGACCCAGAACCTCTCCCAGGACACATCCCTGAAACCCCCATCCCTCGGAGCTGCCGTCAATCAATCATTTCAATCAATCAATCAATCAATCAATCCCCAGAACTCTGCCTGAACCTTTTCCCGAGCGGGGCTCAGCCGGGCAGGTCCTGCTGCGAGCGGGGCCGGCCCCGGAGCCCGGCACGGTCCAGCCCCAGCCCGGCCCCAGCCCCGAGCCCGGCACAGCCCGGAGCCCGGCCCGGCCCGGCCCCAGCCCCGGAACTGTCCGAGCAGCTCCGGGAATGATTCATCCTCATCTCCCGTGGGGCACGGCTCTGCCCGCCGTGTGCTGCCCGTGTCCAGCCCGTGTCACTCCCTGTCCTGCCCGTGTCACTCTGTGTCCAGCCCGTGGTCACTCTGTGTCCTCGCTGTGTCCAGCCCATGGTCACTCCATGTCCTAGCTGTATGTCCTCCATGTCCCTCCATCCCCGTGTCCCTCCATGTCCCCAAATGTCCCCCAAATGTCCCCAGATGTCCCCTCCTGTCCTTTTCCCATCAGGTGCTGGGAAGTCCAGTGCTGGAGCGTGTGGGGGCCTGGGAGGGTGTGTGGGTTGTCCAGGGGTGCCCTGGGGGACTCTGGGGACTCTGGGGTGCACTGGGGGCACTGGTTCTCTCTGGGGTACCCTGGGACACTCTGGGGTGCACTGGGGGCACTGATTTTCTCTGGGGTGCCCTGGGACGCTCTGGAGTGCAACCCTCGGAGCTCCGGGGGGGTCAGGAACTGCTCGGGGCTGGGGCTGGGCTGGCCCGGGGGGGCTGGGGGCTAATCCGGGCTAATCCCGCCCTGGCACGGGCACCTGCCCACACCTGGAAAATCCCCGGGTGCCCCAGCCCTGCCCCAGCCCCTTCAAAAGGGGCAGAGGCGGCTCCCGGCTCACCCAGCCCGCTCACCCGACCCCTCCGTGCCCGTGCCCGTGCCCGTGCCCGCCGCCAGGATGAAGCTCTGGACCACGCTGCTGCTGGCCGGGCTCGCCAGCTTGGCCACTGCCCGTGAGCAAGGGACACGGCTGGCACCGGGGTGGCACCGGGATGGCATTGGGGTGGCACCGGGGTGGCACTGCGGGTGGCATTGAGGTGGCACTGGGGGTGTCCCGGTGGGTATGGGAGGGAGGTCAGGGTGCCAGCGGTGTCCCCAGACTGGGGTGGGGGTCCTGGGGCTCCCGACCCCCGCCCAGGTGGGCGATGCCACCTCTGCTCTTCCCCCGCAGGCCCCGTGGAGGAGTCGAGTTGGGAAGGGCTCCTGGCGGAGCTCGGCAACCTGCTGGACCCTGCCGTGCTGCAGGAGGTCAAGGAGAAACCCCAGGAGCTGCTGGGGCTGCTGGACCCCCACGAGGAACCCCTGGAGCTGCTGGACCCCCACGAGGAACCCCTGGAGCTGCTGGACCCCCACGAGGAACCGCTGGCGCTGCTGGACCCCCACGAGGAACCGCTGGCGCTGCTGGACCCCCATGAGGAACCGGTGGAACTGCTGGACCCCCACGAGGAACCCCTGGAACTGCTGGACCCTCATGAAGAACCCTTGGGGCTGCTGGGGTCGCTGTGGCCGCTGGACCCCAACGAGGAGTCCCAGGAGCTGGAGGATCCTGAGGTGAGTCCCGAGGAGCCCGAGGAACCCGAGGAAAGCTCTGAGGAGTCTGAGGAGAGTCCTGAAGAGTCTGAGGAATCCGACGAGAGCCCCGAGGAGTCCGAAGAACCCGAGGAGAGCCCCGAGGAGTCTGAGGAACCCGAAGCAAGCCCCGAGGAGTCCGAAGAACCCGAAGCGAGCCCAGAGGAGTCTGAGGAACCCGAAGCCAGCCCTGAAGAGTCCGAAGATCCTGAAGAGAGCCCCGAGGAATCCGAGGAATCTGAGGAGAGCCCTGAGGAGTCTGAGGAGAGCCCCGAGGAGCCCGAGGAACCCGAAGAGAGCCCCGAGGAGTCTGAGGAATCTGAGGAGAGCCCTGAGGAGTCTGAGGAGAGCCCCGAGGAGCCTGAGGAACCCGAGGAGAGCCCTGAGGAGTCTGAGGAATCTGAGGAGAGTCCTGAGGAATCTGAGGAACCTGAAGCCAGCCCTGAAGAGTCCGAAGATCCTGAAGAGAGCTCTGAGGAATCCGAGGAACCTGAGGGAAGCCCAGAAGAGTCTGAGGAACCCGAAGCAAGCCCTGAGGAGCCTGAGGAATCTGAGGAGAGCCCTGAGGAATCAGAGGATCCTGAAGCGAGCCCCGAGGAGTCTGAGGATCCCGAAGAGAGCCCTGAGGAGTCAGAGGAGCTCAGCGTGGACCCGAATGTCCTGGTGGAACTGGCAGAAAAACTGAAAGGTTTGCAAGCCCCCCAAAAACCCCTAAAACCCCCAGGGTAGGGCAGATCTGCTTTGGGACCCCCTAAAACCCCTGAACTCCCCAGGGGAGGGCAGGTCTTTGGGTTCTGTCTCTGTTCCAGGGCAGGGTTGGTGCTACCGGGTCAGTTCGCTCCCGAGGGTTGGGAACGATCCCAAATCCCTGTCCCGGCTCCGAGGGGGAGGGAACGGGCGGGTCAGACCCCCCCGAGGCACAAACGGAGCCGGGACAGGGGACGGTGGCACCTCCGGGGGGGGGGTCATAGGGGGATCAGAACCTGCCACCGCTTTGGGTGGGCCGGGAACCCCGAGGAGGGGGCGAGGAGCCCCTCGGGGTGCTGGAGCCCCCCGGTTTTGCCCCCGCAGAGGCGCAGGAAGGCGAGAAGAACGAGGGGATCCTGTCGCATCTCATGGACGCGATTAACTGGCTGGTGACCCATCTGAGCAAACACGTGTTCGGGTGCGCACGGGGGCTCGGGCTGCAGCCCCGAGGTCAGCGCCCCAAAACCGCTCCCGGCCCCTCCCCGCGCCTGGGGGGGTGGGGGTCGCCTGGGGGGGTCTCAAGAGGGGATGAGGGGGCCGGGCCGGGGCTCAGCTCCGCTGTTTTCTCTTTTGCAGGTGAGCAGTGAGCACCGTGAGCGCTGCCTCAGGGCCGGGGGCGGATCCCGCTCCCCCCGCCGAGCTCCCGGCTCGTCCCGCGGCTTTCCCCGCCCCAGGGACCCCCCGCCCCCAGCCCCGCACATCCCAAATAAAGCCGATCCCAAACGCCGCCCGTCGTGTGCTGCCGGCTCTGCCGGGGGTGGGGGGAATGGGGCTGGGGGCTGTCCTGGGGTCCAGCACGAAGAACTGAGGGCCCCTCACCTCATCCCAGTGCCCGTTTTGGGGTCGTCAGCCGTGGCTTCAATCCTCATCCAGCCCGGAGACCCCCAGGGATGGGGGACCCCTCCAGCTGTGCCCAGCTGTGCCTCCGGGCCCTGCAAACCCCAGAGTGCAGACCCCAACCCTCAGACCCCTTTCCCTGTCCCCAAACTCCCTGTCCCAGTCAGGAGCTGGGCCCGGCCCTCTTTTGTGGGGGGGGTCGCTGTCTCCCGAGGCTCTCCCAGGGTGTGCAAGGACAGCTCAGGGTCCCCACGGGGGTCCCCTGCTCAGTGGGGGTGGGACACGGGGACCCCTGGGTGGCTGGGGACAGCTTGGTCCCCTTTGTCACATCCAGCATCTCCTGTCCTTGTCCCTCTCCTGTCTCTCCTCACTGCGGGGGTGACCCCCAGCCTTTTGGGGGGGGGGTCCCAGACAATCCCTGGGGACCACCCTGGCCATATCCCCGGTGCCGTGGCGGGTCCCATCCCCCCCGCACGGGTGTCCCGTGGGGGCCGAGGTTGGATTGGCAGCTCTGACACCCCCCGGCTGTGCCAGAGCCCTGCCCGGGGGGGGGG